CTAGGGAGAAAGGCTCTGGGTCTCATACAACCAAATTATTTGACTGGCTTGGTCCCAGTCTGCCCTTTGCCTAAGTACAGGAGGCAGGAGAGCAGAATAAAAATGCTGCTGGAGGTGAACTGCAGCTTTTACACTGAAATCCAAAGACCTCACTTTGGAGAAAACATGCAAACCATCAGACTATGTACCAGCTGATACAACGGGAATGCAAATGTGGTAAGCTGAGAGCAAATTTTTTAATCAGACAGTTTCTCTCTAAGGAACTTTACCTGAGCCTAAAGCCTAAAGATAACAAGGGAACATCTGAATAAATATCCAGCCAAAATTATGTATGTACTTGGCACTCCATGTGTATCAGCTCACACAGATACACCGAAATACAGTACACGCTTTATGAAATGTCTGACCTCCAAGATCTTTCAATATTTAAGTAGATAATTCATATGAATTAAGCAGTAATTCATATATTGGAGAATGAGCCCAAGAGATGGGAGGATTATTATGGGCTAGGTAACTTCACTTTAGAAACTATGAAATGAAGAAGCTGCACATAGATGAGCCTAGTTTATTTGTGGGGATGCGTAAGCAAACAAGGAAGGGCAAAGCTTCACATGACAACTGAACCCAACAGTATATTTAAGTGAGCCCAAACCATTGTTTATTCACCAAACAAAACCAAGTTTAAAGCTGACCTGGAATTCTGACTTGTTAGGCAGTTATCCATAATCTCAGATTTGGATGTGGTAGAAAGCTCTCCCCTGTATGGCAGGAAGGAATGAGCTACATGCAACAACAAATCAAGAATTTTGATTTAATAAACTACAGCATATTGGCTGCATATTAATAACCAAAGATTGCTCTTTATCATTACATAATAATAAGGCCACCTAGTGGGTTTGCAGCAGAACTGAACTTTGAAATTATTCCTCATTAATAACCAGATTTTTTAAAAGGGAACACCAAGAACCTTTCACAGCAGAAGATCTTAGTGGGTCACAGTCTTTGCTGGGATGATGGAGCTGAGTAGGTGGGGGGGGGAGGATAAAAAAGTCACAATGGCTGCCATGACTGTGTAATTGAAGCTCCACCCTAGAAGGGGCACAGTTGCAGTCATCTTTGGTGTCTCTATTTTTTATTTTTTAATGTCTCCTGCAGATGCCTCTGATTAGTGTTACACATCAGGGAGTTGTCCTGGCCTCAGACTGTCCCCTCTTTTCCTGGCTGACTGGCATTCTTCAAAACAGTAGGTGGAGAAGAAGCAGAATAATGTTGTGTAAGTCTTGGTGTGGGGATGAGAGAAGGCCAATGTTGGGGGACGGGGAATAAAATTGTGTTTGCCAGGCTATTCTCATGATGCTTTAAATATCTAATAAAGAAAGACACTATAATTTCCCAAATAAGGTGTAGTAGGTTTATTTCATCTACATACATTTAAGGCAGAGGTGAAACATCATAAGCCAATCCATCAATTCGGCTAGGATCAACTGCCATTTCAGTTCTTCTCACTCAAATTTGTTCCTGCAGTAACCATTCCACACGGTCATTATTAATTTGATTATATAACAAGAGTTATTACCTGGATTTCTTAATGGATGCCTACATTAAGAACTGTGGACAGCTTCACCTCTATTCTCCCAAACTACCCCAGTCCAGAATTCCATTGAATTTTAATTCTTTTGAATTATTAGCAACTGTACAGCTTGGCCACAACATCTGAGCAATATGGTATAACATGCAACATATTGCTAACAAGAGGCTTGTAGCATCCAGTACTATTAAGCACGTGTGCCTCATTGCCAGTGAGTTTTATTCCAAGGAAAATTGTGGTGGATAAATTTGGAAGTTGCAGTTGTTGGCAGTAAGGGATTTTATGGAAGCAAAACTCATTCTGAAGAACAGCAAAATATACCTGGAAATGAGATGATTGTATTATACTTTTCTACTTTGTCATACTACTTTGATCTGACAAGCAGATGGCAGCACCTGGCAGACTTTTTGTGGACTTTGAAGATAGGTAAGGTCAGGCCTGGTCAATGCTTCGATGGGATAGGAAATCTCAGTGAGACAGACTAGTCTGAGAAGTTGAAGAAATATGGCGGATTGTTTCTGTATTACTACTAAGAAAACTGCACAGATGTCAATAAGAGTTGAATTTGACTCAGAGAAGGCTTTACCTTATCTTTTAATACACAAAGACACACACTTTTGACCTCAAAACCCCAAAGATTTGGATCTGTAATGTTTATCTTGGATTGCCTAATTGAGGAATTACTACTGTAATGCCAACATATGGAACAGATTGTTTAATTTTGTCCTGCATGAGTAAACCTGCTTGCTGTATTTTATCTACACAAATCTTTATCACTGGTGACAACCTACAAGGAACAGCAAAGCTTGAAGGCCTTGGGGTGGCTAGGTACGGAATACACATATACTTACACAGAGTACACATGCATACATAATCTAGGAAGAAAATTTATTCAGACTAACTGAGTATGCATAAACATGGAAGGCATTCTTACAATAATGTCTCCAACTCAAACCACACTTTCAAACCAAGGGTAACTTCTGACAAAAATATGTGATCAGTATAAAGCATTTCTACATCAATTTGAATATCACTCATGATTTGTGCTCCAAGCAATTAGGAGATTTTCAATATCCTAAGAAATAGAAGATCCTGTTCAAACTGGAAGAATATTTCCCAGAGAAATTATTCACTAATACTTCTCTTTTTGGGTTGGTAATTGTGGCTAGGGTTATATGTATGCACACACTGTTTATTTAGAAAGTAGAAACATTCTACTATTTGTAGAAAACATCCCATTATTTGTAAATGGAAAGAACCATCTTTACAACTGTGCATCTTTTCTGAGTTCTCTTCCTATGACTGAAGGAAAATTAGTTGCTGTTTATTCCTATGTCACAGAACTCTCTTTCTTACAACTTAATATAGGTGCTCAACGAATTCTGGTTATGCTTTCCCCAAATCTATTTCTTCTAGATTATTATCAGGAAAAGTGTGATTTATGTAACACAATTAATCGAATCATGTAAGATTCATTGTGGTTGATGACTATCAAACCTGTGGTTAGAAGGATAGTTTGGAAAGCAAAAGGATGGACAGCCTTCATATAAGATAAATTTAATATTATGGATACAGCAATCATTTTAATTCAGTTTGCTTCAAGACATTGTAAACATTTTTTGTGGGAAAATGTGAAAAAAAAATGTGGAATCTGAAGAGTAACTGCATTCCAAATTACGTATTAGTTCGTAGATATGAATTAGAGCAGGCTGTATTAAAATGAGAACCAAATCAATCTCACTTTGACTCATACATCATATTTGCTGTCATGGTAGATAGATATTTATACGTTTATTACACAAGTTAATTTTGTAAATTCTACTAATGATCAGATGAATATAGAGACCATATACTACATAGATACTATATAGAGAAGTTAAACTGGATGGACATTAAAACATTCTTTTTTTCTTAATTAAGAATTAAGACATTTTTAAACAATACTGTATATCTGGTGGTTATTACTTTTCCTCCTTGCAAGGAAAAAAATGTAACCATACCTAAGATTTTTCTACCATTCTACCAAATGGATGGCAAAACAGGTGAAGTGAGATGGTGAAAACTGGCTTAGAATAACAATCACTACATTCAACAATACTATAGTTGCATGAAATGGCCTTTTCAAATTTATAGCATGCAAAAATGAATCTAATGTACATAGATTGAAGTAGGTTATATTTTGCCTGTGGGTTTCCTTTAGCTTTCTCTTAAAATAATGAACTAAAGGTTATGTATTACTATAAGAAAAAGATAAGAAACACAACGGAAAACATTGTATTAAGAACAATGATATAATATGAGAAATGTTCTAAAATTGCTTAGGAGCCTGACAGACCAATTTTGCACAATTATGACAATTTTATAGACAATCTTCCAAAATCTGTTTTCATTTATTACTGACATAATTACATTAATGGTTTGAAAAAACAGACACACAATGTTGAGGAAAAAGGGCCACATACAACTATAGTACCATTTATAGATAAATGTTATATCTAAATCAATCATGTCATACAATTATAGAATGTAAGGGTTGGAAGAGAATCTGGAGGTCATCTAGTTCAGCCCACAGCCCAATTTAGGCATCTACTACTATACCATCCTGACAAATGACCACCCAGCTTCTGTTTAAAGACATCCACATCTTGGTCTTTGGCAGGCTCTTTTCACATTCATGCTTAACAACTTTTTTTATTTTCTTTCATAGTTCTCTGGTTCCCCCTCAATGGTGTTTAGGACTTCCAAGCAATTCATGATGTTCTCCAGAAAAACGGAGGGTATATGTTCAAGATCCTGTTGTGAAAACTGGTTGGCTTTGTTTTTCCACTTTAGTTTGACTTGGATTTTGCATATCAGCAGTTTGTGTCCCACACTTAGCCACTGGCCACATCTTTGCTGCTATAGCTGAGCTTGCCACCTGCTGGTACTTTTACTTTTAGTAAAAGTAAAGCCTGGTGTAGCCCCTAATGATTACCTGTGTCATAGCAGGTGGCTGCATGTGCAGATTTTGAAAATGTTTAATAGGGTCAGGCTTTATCAGAGACCAATGGAGTTAACTGGAATGGGAAATCAAAAAAACATCCTGGATGAGGACTATGGCAAACCACTTTTTAAAAGTTTTTTATTCAAAAGTGCTATGTGTTTAACTACCTGTTTCTGATATTGAGTCTCTCTTTCTCTCTCTTCAGGTTAAACAGTCAAACCTTTTCTACAATTCCTTGCAGGACTAGTTTCTCAGACATAAACATCTGGTCTAGACTAACTGGCCTGTCTTTTTAAGACATTTTGCTGAATGGGAATCTCTTGTACATTTTCCATCCTGCAAGAAAACACAGTGTGCATATACACTCTGTCCTGGGCTCTGCGTAATGCGAGCATGTGTGTGACATGCTTTCTGGGGCATATTTCTTACCTCTGATTGATGGCCGGCTCTGACAAAAGTACAGATGGGATCAAAAGCTCCAGTACCACAGGCCAGCAGATGTGTTCGGTTGTAACGGTGCAAAGCACAGATGTGATTTGCACATTCTTCCTACAGGGGGAAGTAAAAAAAATAGAAATAAAAAGTAGGCTGGTATTTTTACAGCAGTTCTATTTCCTATCATAGTGACATTATGAAATCCATACTTACAAAAAGAAAAGCCTTTTTATATGTAGACATACATTCACACTATAAATGAACTCCCTAAAGGAAGAGCAATGTATGCATTCCCCTCTTCATAAGGAGAAGAAAGGGAAATGGTAGAATTAGGGACTTTTTAGTGGGTTTAGTATTACTGTATATGGCTGGCCTCAGCTTTCAAAGCAATTCATTCCCCACTCCTAAAGGCAAGGTAAAGGGAGTGTGTTGCTCTGAGTCTCCATCTATCATTTGCAGGAGTCTGAGGAAGCTTTTCTTCCTGCCACTGGAAGAGATGAATGAAGCTGTGTAGAGACATTGTGCCTTCTCCATGCATCACCAGCACCCCTCTATTGTTGAATATTATTTCATTGCCAGTTTTATTATGATTTTATCATCACTATGTTATTACTACTACTCTCTGAATAATGCTGCTAATTTTATTGTTTTATATTAGTTGCTTTCTTACTGTACATTTTACAGTATGCCCAGATGAGTGGGTGGAAGAGTTCTATCATCATTCCAATACATATCTTGGAGCTGTGAGGCTGCTGGAACCTCAAATGTGAGAATCAAGAAGAAGCATCTGGGAAAGAAGCAATGGTGGCCTGATCAATGGGGGAAGAAATCTGCTCAGAAGGGGGAGGCAGAGGAACCTGTGATGGTGAAAATGGTGGTTTAGAGGCCAGGCCTTGGCAAAGACACTCATCAAATGGAGAAGCAGCTGGCACAGACATGACTGAACCCCTCTAACTTGAAATGTTATATGACATCTTCAGAAGCAGTGAAATCTTATATGGGTAAGTTCCCCTGGGTCAGTCAGTGGGATGCAGCTGTTAGGCTAGGGCCAAGGAAACCCAAGTCCACCCTCAGCCATAAAAAAATCACTGGGTGACCTTGTACCAGCTGTTGTGTGTAGCATGAAGGGAGATCCCCATGTAAGCTATCTTGAGCTCCTGGACAAAGGCAGGATATAAATCTAACAAACCAAGAAATGTGCTGAGACAGGCAATTCCAAAGATGGCATTTTAAGGTAAAAGATAACATAGGATGAGTCAGAGGCTCATCAAACAAAGAAGAAACTGGCACAATCCATAGACTTGAGTTACCTAATTTAAAGCCATTATAATTCCACTTCAGAAGTAAAAGATGCAATTTTATAAAAGAAGTCCTTCAAAAGTATATTTCACTGAGCAATGGGGCTTATTCCCAGTTAAATGGGAATAAGATTGCATCTGAAATCTGCAGTGTGACACTCAGTAATGTCAGACACACCAAGCTGCAACTGCCAGTTCTCCTCTTTTCTAAATACTTTTTCCCCATTGTTTGGGGTCACTTTGGGTCAACTTGTGACCCATCAAATTAAAATACAATGTATCTCTTCCCCTCCATGTAATGTGGCCTACTAAATACTTGACAATCCCTTGTTTTCACAGATCCAAATAGATTTCCAAAAAAAGGGACTTATTAACTTTTTGTAAAATGTGCAAAGTTGGTACACTTCTTCAAAATCAAGAAATTTTGTAAACTTCACAACGCTCGTGCTATTGCCATTAAAGATGCTAAAAATTATAGGAAGATTGCTTTCAAGTCAGGCCCAACTCCTGTTGACTTCCTGGACTTACAGTATTCTCAACAGTCTTCTGTAATTGGGTAAAGTTGAGGTGGACTTCAGTGAAACATTAAAAAAAATAGGCTTTATATATAAACATCCCCTCTCACCCATATGGATGGTCTGTGTCTTCCTCAGTCTTGAGTCCTCTGTCAGAGGCCTGGGAGTTTGAGGATTCTGGGCAGTATCTTAGCTGTTCCTAGCACTGCACTCTTCTGGACAGAGAGCTCTGATGTTGTTTCTGGGATCTGCTGGCACCACTCTCCGAGCTTAGGAGTCACAGCCCCGAGCGCTCCTACCACCACTGGGACCACTTTGGCTTTTACTTTCCACAGCCTCTCTAGTTCCTCCTTCAGACCCTGGTACTTCTTCAGCTTCTCATACTCCTTCTTCCTGATGTTGCTGTCATGTGGCACCACTACATCTATCACCACTGCTGTCTTTTGGTCCTTGTCGGCTACCACAATGGCCAGTACCTGCCTGTCCGTCTGGATCTGGAAGTCCCACAAGATCTTAGCCCTGTTATTTTCCACAACCTTCTCTTG